TTACAGTACTAATATGATTGTATTTTTGATGTTTTACTATAATATTGTCTTAATACTGCTCGATTGTTGTAATATTATGCATTTTTGTGTCAATAATTGTATTGGCAATGTGGTCTCTTTCTGCACACATACAAACCAACCCCTGCCACCATTTCCTGCCACAGTTCTATTGGTCTAATGGTCTATGTCATGGACTTTCATGTGGGAGATCAGGGTTCAAAACCCAGCTAATGCAACTTTATCAAAAAAATCTCTTCAAATTTCATATTGTCACACAATTACCTTAAATACAAACACCTGCTGACGTGACAGGCACAAGCTGGTATAGAAAACACATTTGAACTTGGTCAAAGTTCCTTCTGCAAGTCCAATGCTGCAGGCAATGACATGCTACATGGCAATGCACACTTGTTTTTACATCGTAAAAACCCATGTCTAGTTTAAATTGTTTTTCTTTCTTACAGAGAGCACAAACTCCTGAACTAACTGGAATGTCTCATTTGTAGTGAAGTTGCAAAACTGCASTCATTCATCATTTTTTAAACCTACATTACGAGGATCCTCCGTAGATGACATGGCATTATTCACACACAAAGCCTCTAGGAACTTCTGCTTCAGAATGATGTAACGAAACCTAAAATACAAAGCAAACATTGAGAAAAATAAAGCGACAAACTTCAAACCACTGTTTCCTGTTTTGTATGAAGAGTAACGAGAAACAGTAAAAAGAGACCTAACGATGACGCAAAACATTCAGATAAAACTGACCTTTTCTTGTCAAACTTGTCCATTCCTTCTAAAGGCTGAATAAACTGCATCACCTCCTCCCACTGGCCGTCTAGRATGAGCTGCCTGTTCAAAAGAACAACGACACTTTGTACTTTGCTGATGATACAGGGTCAAAAACTACAGTGAACGTCTGCAGAGTCCTACCTGAGGAAGAGCATGTCGTCAGAGTAGAGTCCGTTGATGACCCCGCTCTCCTTCTCCAGAGCCAGCATACTGATGTGAAGCCTCCTGGAGCTCAGGAAGTCCAGGATCAGCTTGATCACCTCCGCCTCCTTGAGGTTGATGGTCTCTTCTACCGTCATGGTTGCAGATGTGTGGTGGCAGCTCAAAGCTGATAAAAAATAATAATAATAATAAAAAAGTGAGGAGACAGAAGTGAACAAACATGTTTGCAACTAAATTATATATCAAAGAGATGACCATTTTTTGTCATAATTGTGATTTTGATGCATGTTAAACTGTTTTCTTTTTAAAGACAAATGAATATTTACACGTGTGATGTCACTGCCTGGTCAAAGGTCCTGCTGCTCCAAAGTCACATGGTCTGCTGGCAGAAAAGGCACAAAGTTTGTAACTTTTCATTAGACACTGAGTATAAATATAAACAGAACAATATATTCAGCAGACACACCAATTCACCAGCAAAACTCTCCTAAAGTATAGCATCGTTTTGACACGTGTGATTTAACTTTGCTGACAAAAGCGAGGTTTTCTTCAGAAATAATAATATATCACATCAGACAATATTTTAAAAAACTTTATTCATAATTTTTTTATAGATGTGCAAGTTATTATCGGGTTTTAAACAAATGCAAGTTTTGTTAAGACTGATGCCAGTCGATTAAACCGCCTGCAGGTCATTTCAAAATACATAGAAAAGGTAAACATTCAAAAATGCTAATTATATTAGGTTAAAGCTACTCACTGAAACGTCATGAAGATAAATAAATAAATTTTGCACAATTTTTATCCCCATATCAATGATTAATGTATCCATAAAAAAAAAATTGCAACCTAAATTTCAGAGCCGCTGCCAACTACCTTGTGGGCTTGTTTACCTGCAAAAACAGCCGAAGTAAGGTAAGGTAAGTTTATTTATATAGCACATTTCATGTACAAGACAACTCAAAGTGCAAGTTAGACAATTCTGGTGTATTTGGTATGTATTTACACTCAAATGTGTTGAATAAATGAAGCAGATTAAAGTACTTTCTTTACATTGCGTGCGTACCTGCATTTCAGAATTGCGCATCAATGCATACGAAAAACTACTGGAGTAAATAAACTCATTGGARCTGCACCATGCTGATTAGGGGGGTCAGGATAATTTAAATTATTTATTCACATTTTCTATAGATTGSTTTATTTTGCATTTATTAAGCTTAAATTGTGACAAAAAGTTTTTTCTAATAATGGTTCAAGCCTTTATCATCATCACACCAGCAGATGGAGCGACATGAAGGGGTCAGCATGCTGCTGGGTGATGGAGGGGGCTCCGGGGCGGGTAGCGGAGCAGAGTCAGCCGGTACCACCGCCCCAGCACAATGAAGCATCCTCCTGGAGCAGGTCTGCGGCCCACATCCGACACTCTGCACTTTATAGACACGCCTTGTTTACGTGACAGCCCTCGCGCTCACTTTGTTTCCGACACGCCTCATCACCACGGAGGAGGACAACCAAAGACAGACGTTATGTTTTTTTTTATTTTATTATAATAATAACCGCAGCCTGAATCCGTGCCAGCTCCTCACCTGTCAGCCCGAGCCGTCGACACGCCGCATGAAAACCRCATCAGTCCCCTCTGCCGTGTTTGAGACGTCGCTCCGAGAAGCAGGGCGTTGGTGAAGATCTGTTATTTCCAGAAAGCTCCGCTCCAATCTGCCTTGCCTGTTTCATCAAGTACACGGCTCGCGCGGTTGCCATGCGGACGTAAAGCACCAATCAGCTGAAGCGGTGACACCCAGTGGTCACACATTTACGCCACAATGTGGCAACTTTGAAAAAAAAAAAAAAATCACGGCAATTCCGTTCAGTTCAGCTAATTTATATTTTCCACAAATTACAACAAAAGTTGTCTAAGAGCACACTGTACAAAAACACATAATGTGAAAGTTCACTCTTCACTTTGTTCCAGTC